TTGGGCAGACAGGCATTACCTGCTCCCGGGGGCGTCGCTCCGCCGCCGCCGGGGGCTCCAGGGACCCGGGCCCCGCGGTGTCGGAAGTGGCAGTAGGGTCGCCGGCAGGGCCCCCCGGGACCCCCCGCCCAATAGGGGCAGTCGATAGCCCGGAAGAAGCCAGTGGAGCGTAGCATGGTCCGTCCCGCGGCGGGAGCCCGGCCCGGAGCCGCCCGGGCCCGCGGGCCCCTCACAGGCGCCGCGGTCGCCGCCGCCTTCGCCTCACGGACCTCGCCGCCACCATCTTGTTCCGAGGCCCCCGAGGCCCCCGGGACGCCGCCGCAAGGGACTCCGGGAAGGGTTGTCCGCAGCGCGCCGGCCCAGAACGCCTGCTCCCGTCCGGCCGCGGTGAACAGCGGACCCAGGCGCTGGAACATAAAGAGATTTAGATGGTACTGGGTACCCCAGTTGCGTCTTCTAAGACCCTCTCAGACGGCAGTGCCTGAGCCTCCGAGGCCAGCCTTCTTATCTTGAGCCCTAAACGCCGTGCGGAGTGTGGTCTGTCCGTGGCGCGCCTGACTGAAAAAAACCTCGGGGCCCAGCTTAGTTGCAATTCGGCTTGTCAATTTAAGGCGCCTGTGGGACACAGTGAGTCTTAGAGGTTGCTTTTCTTTACAAAGCCACCGAAGAACAGCCATGCGTGTCCCTTGACCACACTCAAAAAAATCACCTACCTCTAGATAAATAAATAAATAAATGATCACCTAGCCCCGGTATACAGTTGGCTCTCAATTCCTTAATCTTTACAACTTTTTATTTTCTTTTTTTGTTTCTGTGGCACTGAGGATGGAAAGCAGGGTCTTCACACTGAGTTACATACCCAGCCCTTTAAAAAAAAATTTTTTTTTAAAACTTGGAAATCATCTCCTATGTAGTTTAATCTGGCCTCAAATTCTCAATCTTCCATCTCACAGCCTCCCCAGACAGCTGGGTAACAGGTGTGTGCCACTATGCCCGGCTATTACAACTGTGGTCACCAGTTTAATCCCCAGAGTCCGCAGTCACTCACATTTTGATATGTTGTATTCAGCGCCTGTGGGCCAGGAATATAGCTCAGTGGTACAGTGCCTCCCTGGCAAGGGTGACACCCAGGCAAGCACGTGCTAACATTTCCACTGGGATCATCTTTAGACAGCATCTCAGAGTGCTTGTGTGTGTTTGTTTGTTTGGGTTTTTTGTTGTTGTTGTTGTTTTCTCAGAACCAGGGACTGAACTCAAGACTCAGGCCCTTGCAGCAAGCGCTTATTCTACTGAGCCATCTCCCCAGCCCTTGTTTGTTTGTTTTTTGGATAGGGTCTCATTATGTAGCCTAAACTGGGTCTCAAATTTGAGATGATTCTCCTGCCTCAGCCTCCCTAGTGAGGGGATTATAGGTATACTCCACCTTGGCTTTTTTGTCTACAGAATGCTCAGGGTCTCACTACTAGATTGGACTCATATTGATCTGCCTGTTTACAACCTCCCAAGAGCTGGGATTACAGGCATGTACCACCACGCCCAGTCTCAATTGCCAGCTCACCACGCCCCTGGGGCAGGGCCAGCACTGCAGGCCTAGGAATCAAACCCCGGGCCCCTACACCTACTTGCAGGTGCTTTAATCCACTGAGCCATTTGGCTGGCCCTCCTTGTTTCAGTTTTGAAGACCCGTCTATATCACTTTCTACAGGACTTTGAGTATTTTACAGTCTCGCAGAACACAGCAACATCTTCTAATTTCCTGGAAAAACAGCCTACTCTGTAGGACTGGGAGCCTCCTGATCTATACCCTGTTTCTCCCTTTCTACGATTATGTGCTGGTGTGGTCTAGAGTCGCTCAATATTCTCTTTCTTTTTAGGTACTGGGAATTGAACCAGAAACTAGTGTCCAAATCTCAGGTTCACAGAAACTTCCAGCTTCAGCCTCCCTGGTAGCTAGGGCTCTAAAAGCACACCACACCTAGCCTTAATGATTTTAAGATGCAGGTAGAGTTAAGACATGTCTTTTCCACCAGGATAGCATAGTTTGGGGCTGGGGGTGGAACTGAGGCCCTTGGGAGCCTAGGCAGGCACTCAGTACCGAGCCTCAACCCTCACCTCTGTCTTCTTCCACTTATTCAGAGGATTATTTTCATTGAAGTGAAATTCACATAAACCTGGAACTTATTATACTGAGTGTTACACCACCATTACCATTTTATCTAATCCTAATTCCAGAACAATCCATCCTTCCATCCATCCCTGTCCCCTCCCTAGCGCCTGCACCTGAGACTACTTCCTGTCTCTGGCTTTGCCTGTCCTGGGTGTTTCCAGTCCATGGAGCCCACGCTGTGTCCTTTGTGTCTGGTGTCTCTCAGCATTGTGTCCCCAAGGCTCCCCTATACTGTGGAAAGTGTCACAGCCCCGCTCCTTCCTGTAAGAGTGCTATTCCAGGGTGTGAGTGGACCCCACTGTGGCCCTCCATTCCTGCACCGATGGACACTTACCCTCTTGCTACTTGTAGCTGCGTGAATCCTGATGCTGTGAATGTCCGTAGACAAGACTTTGCATTAGCCAGATATAGCAGCACACTCCGTCATCACTGCACTTGGGAAGCTGAGGTAGAAGGATTGCCTTGAGTTCAAAGCCAACCTGGGCTAAATCGTATTGAGACCCTGCCGCAGGCAGCTGGCTGTGTTTTAGCCTATCTTACATACACCTTCAGAGAGGGATTGCTAGGCTGCAATTCCTGCAATGTGGTGACTCCGCATTTCCCAGACTGATGTTTCTCCAGATCAGTAGCCTGTGCTACAACCCCACAATGGCATGTGAGGGTACAGTTTCTCCACTTCTCCCCAACACTTACTGTCACTAATGTCTGGATTCTAGCCATCCTGCCTGTCGCATGCGAACTGCTATGTCCTTGGTATTTTTTTTTTTTAAATGTATTTGGTACAGGGTCTCATTACACAGCTCGGACTCATAGTGATTCTCCTGTTTCAGCCTCCCCAGAGCTGAGATTACAGGTCTGTGCCACCACGCCTGGTCTCAGTGGCCAGCTCAGCACTCCTGGGAGCGGGGCCAGCGGGGCCAGGGCTTGAACCCCAGTGCCTGTGCTTGTCTAAGCAGGTACTTAGGGCCAGGAAGATAGCTCAGTAGTATAAGCACTTGCCTGGCAAGTGCAAGGTCCTGAGTTTAATCCCTGGTACCACAAAAATAAAAAATAAGTAGGTACTTAGTCTGCTGAGCTACCTTGTCAACCCTTCTCCGTGGAATAGCCTCCTTAGTCATGCACATGTCGACCATTTGTACCCTTTCTCTAGGAAAACTTTCTATTTAGAACAGGGATGTCCCTACAAGAGGGACCTGCCTTTATACACAGTGAATGGAGGCAGGCAGGGTATAACTACCCTGAAAATCTGGCAAAAGAGTCCTCCAGGCAGCTGTGGCTGGTGCAAAGGCCTGGGGACAGGAGCAAACCTGGCGCAGGGCAGGAGCAGCCAGAAGCTGTGTCTGGACCAGAGCAGAGGGAGGAGCGGGTGGGCCGGGATTCCCACCAGGCCCTGTGGGCTGCAGGGAAGACCTGGAATTTTGTCTGAGGGAGGTGGAAGCCACAGGGGGCTGGGTCCTGATTCAGGCACTCACAGGAGCCTTCAGACTCCTGCTATGGGGCAGGCAGACTGAAGATGAAGCCAGGCGAGGTGGTGCTCACCTCTAACTCCAGCCACTTGAGAGGCCGAGTCAGGGGAACTCTGAATTCAAGCCCGGCCTGGCAGGTCAGGAAAACACTGTATCAAAATAAAAATGAAAAGCCAGGGTGTGGTGGCCCACACCTGTAATCCCAGCACTCAGGTGGGCGGCTGAGGCAGGAGGATCCTTTTGAGTTCACCAGCCTGGGATACACAGTGAGCTTAAAGCCAGCCTGAACTACATAGCAATACCGTCTCAAAAAGACAAAACGAAAAGGGCTGAAGATGCAGCTCAGGGGTAAGCACTTGCCCAGTGTGAGTGAGCCTCTGCGTTCAATTCTCTGCACAGCAAAAAGCTACGACAAAGCCCACGTGGCCTGGAAGGATGAGGCAGGACGTAGCTCAGTGTACCATGCCCTGGGTCCAGTGGTCAGCAGAGCAGAACAAAAAGCCAGATGACACTGGTGTGGTGCTTCATACCTATAACCTATAATCCCAGCGCTACAGAAGGATGGGGCAGCATTAGTTCAACCTATGCAATTTATGTAGTATTTCAAAATACGTAAGGATAGGGGGACAGTTAGTGTGAAGGCCCTGGATTCTATCTCCAGTAAGACAAAAAGAAAGAAAAAAGCGCTGGCTGAGTGAAGGAGGCCTGAGAATCTTAGGAAGCAGGAGGGGGCGCCAACCATCCCCCGTGAATGTGGGGTGAGGCAGATCTGGGGGACGCAGTACCAGAGGCAGCCCCCAGGCGGCGAGCTAGAGCCCTTCCAGAGCAGCAGGTGCTCCTCCTGCACTAGGTCAGGGCGTAGGGCTCCAGACATTGAGGTCTGTAGTCTGTCTCCCAGAGTGGCCTTGGCTCTCACCGCTTCGGAGTTCCCCCGGGATGCAACTGGAAGCTGGCATCCAGAGGAAGCTCAATATCCAAGCTGTGTAGATGGCTGGGCACTGATGGCAGGGTGGGAAGAGGGTATATGTGTGGTGCCTGGAAGGGTGAGGGGGCGGGGACACACACCCCAGAGGGATGTTGCTGGGTAACAGGGCAGATGGGGGCGGCGACAGACGTTGGGTGACATTATACTGAGCGCAGGGTTGCTTGGGTCTCCAGGCAGGGGCGGGTATTGTCTCAGCCAAGATCCCTACCACACCCTGGGATACCTAGCCTGCTGCCTACTACTTCTGGAGATGGGTGACTGGGGCCCCATTGGTGGGTGGAGGAGCATAGGGGCCTAGAGTCCACAGGCTGGGAGCCACTGCAGGAACAAACCAAGAGACACTAGAGCAGGCTTTTAAAAAGGATTTAATTAAATACAAGGGTGGGCCCAGGTGGGGTAGGGGAGGGGCACTGCCCACAGAAAGCCCACCTCCCCTGGGGTCCCTCCTGCCCACCCTTCAGAAGCCACACATGGAACCAGGTCCCAATGACTCCTGGGGGGAGGGAGCGGGCTTGGGTCTCTCCAGACCCCTGGACAGTAGACAGGGTCAAGGGTGGCACTGTTTTGGGCTTCCTGAGCCCTGAAACAACACCCTACCCCTTGCAGAGGGTAAGCACAGGGCACACTGGGACCAAGCAGGACACACTCAGGGACACAAGAAACGGGAAGCCCTAGCCCCCCGCCCAACCCACCCAAGGACTAAGGCATCTCACTAATGCTGCCACGGTAGGGTGGGAGGTTGTGGACAGACAGGTCTGGCAGCCCTGACAGAGGACGCGGGGTCCAGCAACCCTCCGAGCCCAGCTCCAGAAGGGCATGCCCTACCACCTCAGGCCGGGACTCCAGCACCATATCTGCATCCCCTAGGGCAGAGCAGGCAACAGGCAGAGAGGCCTCACCTAGACCCCGAAGTCCCCAGTCAGAAGACAGGAAGGCCATGAAAGCCACTCGCGGGCCCAAAACTTCCTGCAGCTGATGGCCACACCTTCTGGGTCTTGTGCAGGGAGCCCGGGGCCCCTTCCTCTCCAGGGTGGTGGTCCATTGCAAAGGACACACATAGACCACAGAAGGACAGCACTGTGGAACCCAGGAGGCTACCCTAGGACTGCTGCTCAGCCCATCCCATACTTAAGACCAGGGACCCTCCCCACTCTCACAGCCCTGAACAATAGACCACCCACAGGGACCTACTCAGGAATGAGGTGCCTCAAAAAATACTCTATGCATCCAAAAAGAAAAAGAGTTACCCAGCAGGCTGAACAGCTGGACCTCCTGCTTGCAGCAGGGGGCATGGGGGATGCCCCACTTCCAAGAGCCCCAAAGGAGTCCAAATTTAAGGGACAAGAAAGGGACTCTTCAAAGCCCTGCCACACCTGTCCCTTGGGCTCTACTGCCCAGCTTTGGGACAGGAGGGACAACACACACCCCAATGGCCACGAGATTCCTGTACAAGATTGTCGGTCACAGTGCCTTGAAGGCCAAAATCAGAGACCCTGCCTCAGTGGAGGGGAGCTCGGACCCTTGTCCCAACCTCCCTTGCAGTCTCTCTGTTACACTTTCACACTCACAAACACACACACCCAAGGAAGGAGAGCACCCTCCCCGTGCCAGCAGAGCCAGGAAAATAAATAAACCAGCATTCATACATAGCCTACCTCCTGCTGCCCACCAAGCGCTCCCTGGGGAAAACGCTCCAGTCCCCTCCTCCCCATCTCCTGGGCAGGCCTGGGGTGCTGGGCCACCCCTCCCTTCCAGGGGCACCATCTGTGGATACCTGAGATTGAGTACCCGAGTAGGGGGGCAGCCAGACGGCACCCCCCCATTTCCCTGAACATCTCCAATGGCTTTCAGCGGGGTAGGGTGGGGTGAGGTGGGGTGGGGACAGGCAGTGGCCTATGGGACCCCCTGGTCAGCTATGGCTCTGTGCAGACTTCTTCCCAATGAGGAGGGAGTAGCCTGGTGGCCCAGTGACCACACTGGGCAAGGGGGCTCCCCTGGGCCCCACCCCACCCCTGAACCCACCTTGGGGGGAAGACAAGGGTGGTGGCAATGGGGGAGCTGGCCAACTGCCCACCCAAGATCCCCTGGGAACAGATGGAAAGAGTTAACAATCATGGCTATTTACAGGCTGGGCCCCCCCAGGACCCCTCTCAGGCCACCCCCGCTGGGCTGACCTAGGTCCAACATCAGGCCCCTCCTGTGTGAGCAGGGTTAGGAACAGCTGGGGGGGGGGTTAGGGTCCACGTTGGTCCCCACCAGGAGCCACGGGCGGCAGGTGTGTCCTGTTGCTGGTGGTCCCGCCGAGGTCTGGTGGGGCTGAGCTCAGGATGGGGGCCCAGGGTCTACAGGCCAGCAGGTGCAGGGCTGGGCACTGGGCTGGGGGCAGGGCTGCCAGCCTGGCTGCAGGGTAGAGAGTCGCTGGGCGACACGCTGCGTGTGCCTGGGCGACGGAGCAGTTCCGGCCGAAAGCCGGGGTGGCGGCGGGCGTGCTTGGTCAGGTGGTCACTGCGCGTAAAGCGCTTGGTGCAGAGCGGGCAGGGGAAGCGCTTCTCGCCCGTGTGTGTCCGGTGGTGGCGGGCCAGCTCGTCAGAGCGCGCAAACTTCTTGTCACAGCCTGGCCAGTCGCAGGCAAAAGGCCGTTCACCTGGACAGAGGACAAACAAGTAGTCAGCCACAGAGAAGGATGGGGAGTTTCCATCTGACCCTAAAGGGTCCCTGTAGCTCATTCAGACCCTTATTTCAATTTTTTTTTCTGTTTTTCCAATACCAGTGATAGAACCTTGGACCTCAGCACTGTGTCACACTCTGGCTCTTTATTTTGCAAGCTGGGGTCTCCCTAAGTCACTCAGGCTGGATTCAACCTTGTTATCCTCCTGCCTCAGTGTCCCAGAGTACGGGGATGACAGGTATACACCACTGTACCAGGCAGTACCTTCAGTTTAGAGGCATTTAAAAAAAAATTTTGTCTACAGGGTCTCACTACACAGATCAGACTCACTGTGAGTGATCCTCCTGTTTTCAGCCTTCCAAGTGCTGAGATTACAGGCTCATGCCACCACACCCTGTGTCAATCACTGGGGCTGGCAGACACAGGGATCAAACCCTGGTCCCTGCATCTGCCTAAGCAGGTATTTAATCTACTCAGCCATAGAAGCATTTTTTTTAAGAGGCCAAATTCTGCCTGTGTATCAGAAAAGCCGCAAATCGGGCTCAGTGGTAAAACGTGAGCAGTGAGAACCTGGGTTTGCCTCACCAAACTGCAAAAAGTAAATAAGCCAGGTGTGGCGGCACATGTCTATAATCCCTGCACTCAGGAGGCTGAGGCAGGAGGATTGCCATGAGTTCATCCAGCCTGAACCAATACCAAGACCCTGTCTCAAAAAACCGAAATAGGAAAAAAAAGCAAAGTGCAACAAACTCAACTCCTATCCGCCCTCAAAAGGGGCCCAACACAAAGCCCTAACGAATATTTTTTCTGTCCTTCAAACTTTTGGAAATAGTTGGTACCACAAACCAGTTCTGTATGCTACTGGTAGAATCTGGAGACACCAGAGGCTTTATAGGTCCCAAACCCCCTCCTCCCTCATCCAAGTGGGATAGTATTATAGTAAAGAGGACCCCCTAGTTTTAATGTGGTGCATAGCTCTAATCCCAGCACTGCTGGGTGGTGGCAGACCCTTGTGATTCCAGTACTGGGGAGGCTGAGACCAGGATCACTGAGAACTGGAAGCCAACCTGGGCTCCACGTTAAGTTCAAGTTCAGTCTGAACATACAAAGACCTTGTCTCAAAAAAAAAAAAAAAGTACTAACAGTGTTTGGACAGGATATCATGTCTGCATCTTGCACTGTGAATTAACTACTATGAAGACAACAACATGCATGTATTAATTATTGTAACTGTCCTACTAACCTGTTTTGAAACTGTCTCATTTCTATTTGTTTCTCAACAAAATTTAAAAAAAAAAAAAAAATTCCAGCACTTTGGGAAACTGAAGCAGGAGGACTGCAAGTTGGAGATCAGATCATCTCTAAGTAAAAACTGAAAAAGGGCCAGGGATGTAACTCCGGGTCACAGTGCCCCAGCTTCTCAGCAAAGGGAAATCATGAAAACAAGTTTTCCTCTGGGAGGGGTGGGGCCTCGAGGCCTCGATAAGGGGTGGGGCCTGGCACCCAAGGCCAGCTGGACTCAAAGCAGCCCAGGGAGGGAAGGGGCGGCAGCTACCCAACAACTTCCTCTGAAGAACCTTTCCACTGCCACCGCCCATCCTTTGCCCCCGATCCATAAGTCGCCACCTCTGCACCTTTCCCCTTTCCTCACTCTGTTCCAGAACTGATTCCCAGGGCCCTACATGGTGGCATAAGGGACCAAGACACTGGGACTTCCAGGTGTCTTGCTGTCCCCTAGCTAGGGGCATTGGGGAGGGCAATGTTGGGGCATGTGCACAAGGGAGTTCACACATATGTGTAATGTCTGGGGACATTCTGTGGAGAGAGTAAGAATAAAGCAGGATCTGGTCCCCAGTGGCCCCAAGGCTTAGCCTCAGGGGACCCACAGGGAGGCCAGGGTGGCGGTCAGCTCATGCGGGCTGAAGTAACCCAGGCTGACCCAGGGAACCTGTCCACTGATGGGGGACAGATATTGGGATGGACTCAGGTAACAGAACGTGAGAGGAGTCTGGGACAGGACCCAGAACAGGATAGGGGGTGCAGAAATGAGCAGAAGTGAGGGCATATGGCCAGAAAAGCCGGGGGAGGGGGAGAGGGGAAGTGGGTGGGGCCGGGGCATATGCTACACCTTGCTCAGAATCAGAAAGGGGCCCAAAGAAAACCTGTCTCCCACATAACAGACACCCCCCCATACAGGGCCGTAATGTGTGGAGTCTGTAGGCCAGCTCACATCTGTAAAACACAGGTCCCAGGAGGCTGGGATTCCAGGCAGAGGAGGCCTGGTGCCACCTATGGCAGTGAGGAGGGGCAGTAAGTATCCCCAAGACCCACACCCCCAATCTCCCCTGAAGAATACAAAAAGCAAGCTTGGCACCTGCTAGGAAACCGACCCTGAAGTACTAGCATGTTGTTCTTCATTTTTCTCTCTTATTTTAGATAAGTGATCATTACTTTGCCCAGGTAAGATTTGAGCTTTCAATCCCCCTGCCTCACCCTCCCATGATGCTAGATTACAGGTGTCTGGATTACAGTCGTGCACCACGATGCCCAGCAACGCAGGTCTTTTCTCGACAAGACCTAGAGTCTCAAAACAAGCCCAGAAGAAACCTCCACTCCCACCCTGACAACAGGCCTGACAGGCCCAAGGTTATGGAGGTGGCCACTCAATCTCCTCACCATCCTGCACAGAAGAGGTGGAGGCCAAAGAGAGGAGACATCCGTGGATGCTTCCCCCAGCAGCTGCTTCACTTCCTCTTTCAAAGAAGCAGGGCTGCCCGCCCTCCAAGCCCTCCACCCCTCAGTTCCACTTTGCCATGAGCAGCGTAGAGGAGCAGGACGCGAGTGACCACAGGGAACATAGCTGCTGCACGTGGAGGCGACAACCTCGGCCCCAGCCAGCTCCGCTCACTCACGTGGTCTTGTTCCAGCCAGGGGCCAGAGCTGGGGCTCTGGCGTGGGTCGCCAAGCTAGCCTAGGCGCCTGCCAGTCACAGCCCCCAGCTTGGCGGCTGGGGTGTGCACGTGTGCACGTGGGTGGCGGTAACAGGGTGAGTAGCTTCCCGCCCCTGCAACGTTGGCTATGTGCCTGCAAAATGCCTGGCTGGGTCCTGCCACTGTCTCCCAAGGTCTATGCAAGGGGAAAGGCTGAGTTAACTTGGGGGTTGCAAATAGGGGTGGCTCTGAGCTAAGCCCTCAGGGAAAACTCCCTCCCCTTTCATACTCCTATCCCGGAAAGCCAAGCTTAGCCACTCTGCCTTTCCAAGCTACCTGACTGCAGGAGGTGGCGCAGGAGGATGTGTGGCGGGTGGGGACCATGCAGGAAGGGCACAGTGGGCGGAGCCGCGGTGGACTTGACCCTCTGACTCGGGTGGGGCCGGGTGAGCTGGGGACAGCCCGGCTGCCTCAATGCCAAGCCGGCTCAGAAAAATGGAGGGCAAGTTGTTCTGGAAAACTGCTCCAAGCCCTGAGCCACCAGCAGAGGGGGCCCTGGAGGTAGCACACACCATGCCGTGGTTGGTTGTCTTTATGGGCCAGAGCAGGGCACAGCCTGACTTACCAGGCTGTCTAGGGTATGTAGGGCCGGCAGTGCCCACCCTTGCAAAGATGTCTATCCACCCGGAGAGGTAGGCTCCTCGGGGGAGGGGCACTAGGGCCTCCCACTCCTCCCTCCTCCCGCAGGCTTCCTCTTTACAGTTGGCCTGTGGTAACCACCAAACTTGTAGTCAGGCAAGTCTCTGGAGGGGGTCTCAAGTGCTCATCTCCCCTCAAGCCACATGCCAGCTAAGTGCCATCATCCTTAGATCCATCCTGATATGCTGGGTGTGGTGGCACACACCTATAATCCCAGCACTCTGGAGGTGGAGGCAAGAGGATCACTGTGAGTTTGAGACCAGCTTGGGCCACACAGTGAGTTCAAGGCCAGCCTGAACTGCCAAATGAGACCCCATCTTAAAAAAAAAAAAAAAAAAAAAATCCATTCTGACACCATTCTTCTTTCACCCCTGGCCTGCATCAGGACTATCACAGTACCCACCGGCACCAGCCCTGGCCTGGGCCACCCAGTCTACAGCAGCTTTCCAGAGCTCTGCCCTGGTTCAGGCACAAAACTTAAGTGGCCCCTGAGCCTAGGGCTGCTGTCTGCGCCTCTGAGGGAAGCGGGAAGCATCACCTCTAGAGTAGTCTCTGCAGTCTGACAGCGACTCCCCCCCCCCCCCAAGCCTTTCTTTGTGCCCTGTTTGCACCTGGAGCAGAAGGTAGGTGCTAAGCACACAGCTGGAACCCCTGCATCTCAATGCATATCCGCACACTGGGGAGATGACGTACAGGTCTATAGGACCCAGCACCAGCTTCTAACGAGAACAGCAGTGGATGTGCCCTACATGTCCTGGTCCAGCACCCTTTGTTCTTCCTGCGTAGCCCAGGCCTCCTGGCTGTTTCCCACCTACCCACATAGGCACTTTCCTCTCAGGGGCTCCTGTGAAGGGAATAGAGGACACACCTCCAGGCCACGTTCCCCACCCAGCCTGTCCAAGTCTGCCCTCCCTCTCTCGTGCCTTGGCTGGTATCATTCACCAACTCCCGGCCCATCTGGGCCACCTTTATCAGGAAGCCTGGGTGGGGGGTAGTTATCAGCCCTGCAGTGTTGGGGGGCCTTCCCCCTCCCACCTGCTGGCATGCTGCAGACAGTCCCAGTGCCGTCCTTGGAGGAAGGGGCTAGCCAATGCCCACTTGATCCTAACAGAACTCACAGCTCTGACTGGGATGCCGGCAAGAGGACTCGGCTTCGGATAACAGAGTGTTTCCCTCTCTAGGTCTTTTCCTATCTGTCTTTCCCCCCAGGACCCTCTACAGCAAACAATTTTAACCACCACCACCCCAGCCACCCCTCCGGCTGTCAGATGGGAAAACTGGGCTTACCTCTTTCCTCCTAGACAGTGCCCCGCCCTCAATCCCTCTCCCACCCTAATCCTGTCTCCATAAACGGATTTTCCCCCTGCAAAGCCCAGCCTGCCTCCAGTCCCTGCCCTGGAGATTAAATCCAGCCTTCACCTTTTGGGATCCCTCACTACCCACAAATCCCTGCCCCAGGGCAGCAGTGCTGTTCCCTCCTTGGGACACACCATTCCCCAGCCTGCTGAAGGTCTCCTCCAAGCAGGATGGCCTTATCCACCAGTAATGGCTGTGTCACCCTTTCACTGCCCCTTTTAAGAGTCCTGGAGACAAGGACAAGATCTGTCACCTCTGGGCCACGTACACCCTGGTGCACAAAAGAGCACTCTTCTATTTCTTTATTTTTTAAATTTTTTTTTATTTTTAAATTTATTTATTTATTTATTGTGTGTGTGTGTGTTTGTGTGTGTGTGTGTGTGGCCAGCTCAGCCCACCAGGGGGCGGGGCTGGCTGGCATGTGGTGCTGGGGATTGAACCGCGGTCCCTGCGCTTTTGCTTAGCCTAGCTTGTTCTAAGTAGGTGCTTTTGACCACTGAGCCATCTCACCAGCCCTCTTCTATTTCTTAAGACTTAAAAATTTTTAAAGGACAGTGTAACTGGGAGTAGGAAGTGGCCCTACAACCCCCCCCCAAGACACTGAGTGATGTCTGGGGACAACTGTGGTTGTCACACCAGGGGTGCTGCTGGCCTGGAATGGGTGGAGGCCAGGGACAATGCTCATCCCAGTGCTGAGGAGGTGGCCCATGGGTATCAGAGCTCTCCCACGTCTCAGTGCTATCTCTGGGTAGGGGTCAGACACCCCCAGAGTCACACCACTGACTGTGCTGGCACTAGGGGACTAGGAGCCTTCTGGGGATGGAGGAGGTTCCAGGGCTCAGGAGCAAGAAGTCCACAGCCAGCCTCTTCTCTGGCTCCCGCCCCCGCCCCTGCCACACTGCTGGCTCTCTCTCTGTATCTATGGCAACAGCGTCAACATCTCCTGCAGCTTCCAAAGTCCTTCTCTGCCTCACAGGGGCGCTTGGAGGGGCTAGGGGGTGTGGGCCAGATGCTGGAGCAGGTAACAGTCCACCTCCTGCACCCCAATGCCCCAGTGAAAAACAGCCCACAGACTCTTCCAGCCTCCACATCCCCAGGGCCAAATGGGGTAGATGTAATAAAACTTCAGCCCACCTGGCTTCCAGCTGCAGGCTTCAGTCTGCTCATCTGTCCAAGGGACCAAACCAGACTGCTCTCCTCTTAACACCAAAGAGAAAGTCCCAAGGCAAAGGTAGGTGGGGACAGGATTTTTTTTCTCCCAACCTGCAGCCCTCATGGGTGTAGCTGCAGAGAGCTAGTGGCCAAGGAAAGCTCCTAACTAGATCTATACCTAAGCACTGTAGGCTGCGCCCAGGAAAAACGTGGCCTCCTTGCCAACTTTCCTTCCTCTGGGAGCTACAAAAACCAAAGAGCCTCTTTCAGTGAAAGAAGTTCTGCTAACTGTATAGTGGTTCAAAGGCCAAGGACCCCAGCTAAGGAATGAGTGTCCTAAGATTGCCCTCCTTGTTCCCAGGTAGTTATTACAGTGGGGACTTCCACAGCTTCCCATGGATGTGGATCTGGGATCTATGCTCACAAGCAGGGTGATGCAGTACCCAGCTCCCAGATCTCGACTTCATCTCTGCCACCCATCTCACAGCTGCTGCACAGTGACCAAGTGGACACACTGGGCCCCAGCTCAGATCCTGGCCTTCACATGCGTGTGCGGGAGTCTGCTACAGTTGAAGATGGCCTGGCCTCCTTCTTCACCCCACCCAACAAGTTGGATAAGATTTGGGAAAAACCAAACCAGAGCCAGACATGATGGCACACACCTGTAAACCTAGCACTGAGGAGGCTGAGGCAAGAGAATCACTGCAAGTTCGAGGCCACCCTGGGTTACAAAGTGAGCTCAAGGCCACCCTCCTGGATTACATGGGGAGACCCTACCTCAAAACAAACAAAAAAACCAAAACCCAGACCAGTGTGGTGGAGATCAAAATCAACTTGTGGCACGTTAGGTGGGGGGAAGCCAAGAATAGCAAGGTGGGGTTCCTCTCTCAACAGGTTCCTTCTTCACCCAAATGCTAAACCAACAGATTCACCCAGAATAAGGCCAGGCATACTCACACCCCAGAACACTCCTAGAGCAGCACCTCTCCATCCCCCAAAAAATCCTTCCCCATCTTCACTGACCCTGCCCTCAAGCACCCCTATTGTAGAACTAAATACCCAGGGACCTCTCAGCAGAACCACTCCCCCACCTCTATCCGGTCCTCTCAGGTCCTCTCACGGGCTTGAAGGACAGAGCCTCCAGGCCCCCAGGGATGAGGAGAGAGTATAAAAAGCAGAAAACAAGTACTCTGCAAGTCCACCGCCCTCCCCCTCCCCCTCCTGCTCTCCACTGTGACTTTTCACACCCTAGCTCGGCACTTTGGTCTCTCTACCTGGTGTCAGAGGCTCTGTAAGGTGCCTGGGGCTACCATTAGGGCTGTCTCTGATTCCTCGCACCCTTTCTGAGTGTTCCCCTGAACCAAACTCCCTTGTGAATGGAATTGCCCCCAACAAGTCCCAAACGACCCTAAAAAGAAAACAACCCTACACCCTTTATAGAGATGAGAAACGACACCTGGAGCAGGTAGGTACCCTACTAAAATGGGGGAGAGCCAGGATGTCTCAGCTTGTCCCCAGATTCTCATTCTTGCTTCCCGGAAGGGACATATTCCCCAATTGAGGACCTAGGCCGACCACTGAGGCCCACCTTCCCGTCACTCAAATTCAACTCTCAGCCCAGGAGGTCTGATTCGTGGGGGCACAGAGGGAAGGACTGGCAATCAAACACTGGATCAGCGGGCACCTAGTGCAAGCGGCCTGGGGGCCCCTGAATGGTTGGATCACTCCCCATTCAGAGCCTGCGCATTTCTTCGAGGGTGTACCGAGAGAGCAAACATGCCAGGGACCCCCTCAGCAATGGCCATGCAACTCGAAATTCAGGCGCCGATGCGCACTCCCGACCGCACCCTCGACCTCGTTAAAATAGAAAGAACGTGTGTGGGGGGGGGGGAACGTGCCGGCCACCCCCCAACCCTCACACATCCTGGCGCTGCGCCAGGCTCTCAGTAGCCAGCTGGAAAAACTCCAAGAGGCCTCCCCGGAGGCGGCGACACAGAGATAGCCACCCTTTTCACAGATAAGGAAACTGAGGCTGGGGAGGGCCCGGCATAGAACAGAAAACTCCAAATACCATCCTGACCGCCTAGATCTGAACGCAGAGAATAAGGAATGAGAAACCAAAACCACTGGGCAGTCAGCCGAGCACACATCTCGCCCAGCGCCTAGCTCTGCCAGAGCCCCTCAGCGCGCCGCCGGACCGCGTGGCCGCCACGCCCCCCGCGCGCGCCCCACCCACTGAGGCTCCGCCCGCCCGGCGGCGGCGGCGACCCGGGCGCGCCCCCCTCCCCGCCCCCCACGCGCCACGCAGTTTCGGGGTCCTAGCGGGGGAGGGGGTCCAGCAGGCCGCCTCCGCACCTCTACAGATCGCGATCGGACTCACCTGTGTGTGTCCGCAGGTGCGACTTTAGGTGCGAGGACTTGTAGTAGGCTTTGGCGCAACCCGGGAAGGGACAGCGGTGGCTCTTGGCGGCGGCACTGGCGGGGGCGCGGCCGGAGGTCGGGGACGAGGCAGCCGAGGAGGAGGAGGCGGGCGAGGCGCCCCCCGGGGCGGCTCCGGGCCCGCCGCGCAAGTCGGCCAGGA